CCCCCCCCCCTCTCTTCCTCTCCCTCCCCCTTGATGTTCTCCTCTCTTTACTCCCTCTTTGTCTCTGCAGGGATAATCAGCTTATTCCAGATGTTTGAGTCTCACGCTGCCATTGTCCCTTTCTCTTCCTCCGTGTTTGTTTCTCTCTTCTTTTTTTTAGGACGTGAGAATGATGAACTTGATTTTTATGCTTGAGAAGTCACTTCTATTTCCGGTTCTTTCTCTTGCAGAGGTGAGGTGGCTCCTGTCCTATCTGTAAACCACACCTGGAGTGGCTTGAAATCCTTCTTGTTTCTGCTTCCTCTGTGTGTGTGTGTGTGTGTGTGTGTGTGTGTGTGTGTGTTTGTATAGTTTTTGTTTTTCTGCCTTTACCTACTGTTTAACAGTTAAAACTCTGATAATGAGTGCAATGATTTTATTCACTGTGTTTAGTGTTTTTGACAGGGTTAACTTTGTCAAATACAGATGTGTGTGTGACGTGTTCTCACACACACACACACACACACAGAGAAGGACTGGTCAACAGGGCTGATCAGAGGAGACACTGATCAGGAAGATGAAATCTTTAGGAGTAAAAAAAAAATACAACCAGGTGGCTGTGTAGTTAGTCCAACACTGCCCCCTCCTGGTCAATATCTTAGTCAATTGCAGTCAAGATTCTTGAATTCAAGGAATTATATCAATAAAATAAAACCAAACATGACGTCATGATATCATCTGATAATAAAATCAACTGGATATTTTTTCTCTTTTTAACAGGGAGAATCTCACTTTAGTAGAAAAAAACACTGTTTTACATAAAGAGAACTAACAAATTCAAACTCTGTGGCCCCAGAATCAGAGAATATGGTTAATATTATAGTTAAATTATAGTTAGTTTAGCTTCTAAAATTAAAGATGAACTTATCTAGACATCTTGCACATGTTAAAGCACAGTAAAGGGGGGGGGGGGGGGGGCTGCTAATGACCTCTGTTCTCCAGCTTCAGTTCAAATGATGCTCTTTGCTTGGCAGGCAGTGAACTGTGGCATCTGTGAAAACAGACTGATGAGGGCGCTGTCACTGCAGCCACACTCTGACATATCTGTGGAACTCACATCCACCATAGAAGCAGCCTGTCTAGAATTTCCATCACAAACACTGCATTTATTTCTCAGGTTGTCCAACACGTTTGGTCGTCGTGTGCTGTGGGATCTTCATAATCTAAGATATGTGGTGGAAAAACACTGGAAATACTGTTCTGGAAGTGACAAAAAGGCTTGAATTATTAGAGTTAATTCCAATAAATCTGATGATGATGATGATGATGATGATGATGATGATGATGATGATGATGATGATGATGATGATGATGATGATGATGATGATGATGATGATGATGATGATGATGATGATGATGATGATGATGATGATGATGATGATGATGATGATGATGATGATGATGATGATGATGATGATGATGATGATGATGATGATGATGATGGTTTGATGTGTGACAGGGGGCAGCAGAGAGTCATTCCTCACTGTTACCCCCTGCTCCTTGAACATGTCAGACTTCCTTCCTCAGCGATGACGCCCTCAGGTGGCCTATCTTTTTATAGATCCTTATTGTTTTGCTTGTGGTGGGATTATTCTGCTTGGTTGCAAACAGCTTCACTGCAGTTTGGCCGGCGGCAGGATTTATGGATTTGGGATTTGAAGCTGAGAGTAATGCCAAGGTATTACAGAAGCAGAAGCTCTCTCACTAAAGCTGCTCTGGAGTTGGGCTGTTTGAGATGGAGTTAGGAGGAAAAACACTTTGATGCAGTCCTATACACAGATGATTTGATCCTGCTATTATATTCACTCTGTGGATGTCTGTGAAATCTACCATAATCATAAAAAGTCCACGTACGAAGGAGAAGAGATATATTGTTGGTTTTATTGCATTTTGAGGAAAACATATCTAGAAAAATGTTATTGAATCTGTCATCATATATATATATATACGTATATATATATATATGATGACAGATTCAATAACATTTTTCTAGATATGTTTTCCTCAAAATGCAATAAAACCAACAATATATCTATTTAAAACATAAATAAAAAACCAACATCCCCCATTTCAATCATAAAGTTATTTCAGATCGTTCAGCCTTGAGGAAAACAACAAAAACTATAAATGTTAGCCACAAGTGAATATTTAACACTAAATGTTTCCGTATTTGGTGCTAAAAAAAGTGTACACATCATCAAAAAAGAGTTAATGATTAAACCTTTGTGAGATGTTGACTGAGTTTGAAACTCACTGCTCTGTTGCTCTACTACGTCCATTTTCACTTCATCAGAGCAGGTGGAGAGAATCAGAATCAGAAGAGCTTTTTAAAAAGGTTCAGTGTGTGACATGAACTCAAGAGTCGGACGACTGTTAGTTCAGTGCTGGAACTGGGAGGAATTTGTCATTTTATATGGTGTCTGTCATCAAGATGTCCACGTCAAGGAATGGGTCTTAGGATAGAATAGAATAGAATAGAATAGAATAGAATAGAATAGAATAGAATAGAATAGAATAGAATAGAATACTCACTATATATATTACTATCTTAGTATAAGGTAGTAAAGATCAGAAGAAGACACTTGATTGTCTGTGTTTGTTTAGACAGAACCAGAACCAGAACCAGAACCAGAACCAGAGAGTTCATGTGGAATTACCTGGAGGAAGGATGTGATTCCAGCAGAGCTCAAACTGCAGCTCGTTATAAAACGACCATAACACGTGGACTCAATTTAATAAATTGTCCAATACCGTCCTCTAGTGTTTAAACTGTAAATCACACACGATGATTTAGATTAAAATAAATGTATAATCGACCTGTTTTATTCCAAACCTGTGTCTTCTTGGGCAGCGTTGATGTATGTGACACAGAGAGAACTTCCGACTCAGCTCGGCCTCTTATCGGCTACACTGTCAGATAGATTCACCACATTCCTGTACATTGTGCCTAATGAGGCGCATCACCAGCAGAGTGAGTGGTAATAAGGAGGGAGGAGATGTCCTGGACCTCCTCCTCCAAATTACCCCATCAATCATTCTCTAATGATTTCTGGCCAGCTGATTTCATCAGCTGAAGACACGTCAAAACAAGGTCAGTTCACCCTGATCCCAGAGACAGCCTGTTATTAGGTGTGGATCTGCACTCTGGACCAACAGACACTAGAGATGTAAGTAGAACATGGAGGGGACATTATAAATGTATGTCTAGAACAGAACAGAACAGAACAGTCTTTATTGCCGTTGAACAGCAGGGGTACAATGACATTGAAAAAGATGCAGAAATGTTAATGTTGATTTGATTAAATGGATCATGTGTTTCTAAAACACGTGCAGCTCATATTTGAACTGGGTCTATTTAACCAGGGACACAGTGTTCTCTGCCCAGGCTCCTGTGGTGACACCGTTATCTGCAAACAACCCCGTTGACCAAACCCAGAAGGTCACACAGACCTGGTAAACATTCACCTCTCAGTGGAGACTGGCCAGCGTTTGGTTTTACCGTACTTTTACACACTGTCTCTAACCGCCCTACTGTAGGCGGAGCTTGATGTGACTATAAATCTTTTTTTTTTTTTACCATTGCTGTTACACAAACGCACAAAAATAGATTAATTTGCGGTCTTTAGTTTGATGATCTGATTGGAATCTGAAATCTTTGCACGTTGTCTTTTTAAAGTGAAACATTTGAGAATAAAGGGTAGAATTCGTACGATTTTATTCTGAAGTATTATCTATACAGCCGTTATGATAATATCATGTTTATCACCGTGGCAACGTTTAGAATGCACTGCTACCTCTGTGAGGAAGGCATCTGGCTCCGCCCTGTGACCTTTGACCTTCTGAAACACAAACCACAGATCATGAAGTGAAGAAAGCGTCAGCAGCCACGTTCTCTGAGTTCATGGATGTTTGGATGTTCGACAAGTCTCACGTTTTTATGTTTGTCCAAATCCGTCCCTCGTCCCGTTCCTGGCGTCAGATTGAACCTCCTCAAAACTGACAGGTGGCAGAGGAAATGGAATGGCCTTCCGGTAAACTGTGTACTGATGACAGGAAGTAGAACAACAGTCCAGATGATTGACAGGCAACAGATTTTCATTAGAAATAAATGAATGTAAAGAAGATGAGAGCGCCACCTCTGGGAGTTTGAGCTTCACGTCAACACTGTCGGCCGAGGCAGCAACAACTGACGCCGTCACTTCCTGTTTGACATTTGTCTCATGTTGCTCAGAGAAGCCGAGAAGCAGAGCCACGCCTGGGATGTAGCTCTCCACTCTGGAAAAATTTTTTTTGGGATGTAGCTCTCCACTCTGGAAAAAATTAAAAAAAAAATCATAGCTAACATCCAGGAATCTATGTCTGCGTATATAGATGTCCATAAATATATATTTGTTTGTTTCTACCGTCGGCCCATCGCAGCCATGGTCTCAGGGATTGTGCTCCAGTGAACTTTGGCTCTCAGTGTTGGCAGAGACCCAGGCAGACGCCCAGCGTTGGCTTTTATTGACATTTCATACGACTGACATTCAGATCCCCATCGGATGTGTGTCTGAACCAAACAGGAAAGAAAGATCGATTGTGAGGAGAAACTCCAAACAGCCGTCTGACAGGTTCACACACTTTCTATCGATTGGCTGTGACGGATGAGTCAACAAACGCATGACGCAGTCTGACAGTTTCTTCTTCAGCCATTAGAGGGGGCAACAGTATTTATCTGTCGGACACAAATAGTCCTGTACGGTGTGTGTGTGTGTGTGTGTGACCCAGGTGTGTGTGGCGACTTGGAGAACGTCAGAGGAAATCTGTGTCAGTGCAGAACTCCTCTTCACGGTGACCATGAGTCCAGAAAGAGAACAAACCAATCAAAGAGTCGCGTTTTCTGTGATAAATTACACACTGTGTCCTCTTCTTTACCTGAAGCCCAGAATGGGAGATCACACTGGCGTCCAAGCACATCTTCCAGTTGGTGTCGTCTCCAACCTGAGACACAATCAGCTGTGTGTTCTTCATGTTGGCCTCAGGTGTGTAGTACACACACGCCTCGTATCCCTCAGGCTTTTCATTCCCACCAACGGCAAAAGCTTTCACGTTGAACACAGGAGCGGGCGCTGAGTCCACAAACTGGGATAAATAACAAGAACAAACGTTAGTTCAGAGGTGGAGATGGAACAGGTGTGACGCAGCCTGGACGGTTTTACCTCCACTCTACTGTCCTGTTGGCTTTGACCACTGGAGGCAGAGTTTGAGGACAGACGATGTCTCTGAGCAGCTTCCTGTCAGGAACAGTCCAGGATTATTATTATTATTATTATTATTATTATTATTATTATTATTATTATTATTATTATTATTATTATTATTATTATTATTATTATTATTATTATTATTATTATTATTATTATTATTATTATTATTATTATTATTATTATTATTATTATTATTGTTGTTGTTGTTATTATTATTGTTATTGTTGTTATTATCAAACCTGATCAAACAGAATCACAGGTTAAGACATTGTGACTTTTACAGAGGAAGATAAAAACCTTGGACAGTCTTCTCAGAGCTCGGAGCAGTTGCTGTGCATTCATTGGCTGTCTGCTGCTGGGGTTCAGGTTGAGCTCAAAGTGAATTCTCTCCATGGGTTTGTTTGTCTGGGCTGATATCAATCCAGATGTTGTGTTAACAAATGGTGTAAAGTGAATTTCCCAGTGTTAAAGAAACAGTGACTTGAGATAAAACTGTTGTTAATAAAAGTATCTGTTATTACCTGGGGTTAGTTTAAAGGCAAATGCTGTGTATCCCAGGAAGTAGTAGAGGGGATATTCCTCGTGGTAGAACTCCCTCCTTAACTCAGACTCCACACAAGCTCCCACTCCGTAGATGTTGCTCTCGGTACACATTTTTGTAACTGGATGCCAAGTGTTGGCTCTGACCATCTGTGAATTCACAAAGACCTTCAGTAGAATTCTGCTTTGATGAAGTCAAACATGATTCTTTTTTTCTTTTTTTTTTTTTTGAAGATATCGTACTGGTTTGGACTCAGGCTTCACCACTGAGGGATCCACGTGGACGACCTCATGGTCCGAGTCACCATCCTTTGGCATTATTGGGGTCATTTTAGCCTTGTCTGGTTCCTCGATGTTTCTAGAGACTACGTACACATTGGACCTGGTGGTTGTAAACAGACACCACGCTACATTTACTGACAGTGATGACAGTGTGTGACAGAGAGGACAGGGATCAGAGAGTCAGTCAGAGATTCAGTCAGAGATTCAGTCAGAGATTCAGTCAGAGATTCAGGCAGGTAGTCAGTCAGAGAGTAAGTCAGAGAGTCAGTCATAGAGTCAGTCAGAGATTCAGTCAGAGATTCAGGCAGGTAGTCAGTCAGAGAGTAAGTCAGAGAGTCAGTTAGAGAGTCAGTCAGAGCGGCAGTCAGAGAGTCAGTTAGAGAGTCAGTCAGAGATTCAGTCCGAGAGTCAGTTAGAGAGTCAGTCAGAGAGTAAGTCAGAGAGTCAGTCATAGAGTCAGTCAGAGATTCATATTCTTTTTTCCAAATGATTTTGTTCTCTCTATTTATTGCTACGTACCGGACAGAAAAAAGTTCAACTTCTTTCTTAAACGCTGGTAGGTCAAACTCAAACTTCTTTTCCCGGACGTTCATCTTGACTGAAAACTTCCACGGAACAGCATGTTGGGTTTTGGCCTTGAACTCGATGCCGGACTGGAACAGTTCTGTGTTGATGCCGTAGGTGATCCAAAAGTCTTTGGTGCACCTGTTGACAGAAGGTGAAGGACGGAACACACATTTGCAGCTGCTTCTGAGAACTCAACATTCTGCAAGTGAAGCTTTTTATAAAATTGAACAACTTTTTACCCAATAAATCCGTCGGTCTCCAGGGCAACTTCAGACGTAAGGAGTTGTCCTAGATTCTGGGTCAGTGGTGGATTGACCGCAGCTTTTGCTACAGTACAAAGAACAAGAGCAACTTCAGATTTTTCAAAGGACATAAAGGAACAAATAAAGAAGTCCGTGCTGAGATTTGGTTCCTGACCGTTCGTAGTGATCCCGTTGACCGCCTCATAGTACTTGCTGATCTCAACTGGTAGACCCAGAGTGGTCGCTTGGAAGAATCGAGCCTCAAAGATGAGGAATGCCCTGGTCCAATGCCATGATGTTCCCTTTTGCAAGTTCTCAATAACAGTCCACAGAGGGCGCTCCTTCCCAGCATCTGGACTGATGGCCTGTAGAGGAGGTCAGAGGTCAGAGGGAGAACGGTCGGTGCTGCGGAGGCTTTGGACACGACCAGAAATGATGCTACCTAGACATTTTCTCACCCCGACGATGTTCTGGATCAGGTCTTTGTTGATGTCAGTGAAGAACCACTCCTGTCCAGAGGCTCGGGAATAGGCGGTGAAGACGGGCTGGTCAGTCGGAAGATTTTCCCAGTTTTTAAGCTTAAAAAATGGCCACAAAACAACACAGGAGTCACCCAAACACACCTGAGGCCTTCACCTTCAGACGTGTTTCTTCTTCCGACCTTTCGTCGTACTCACCACACTGAGAATAGCCTGGAAATCTGTGAAACTTAAATCTCCTTTAAACGCAGGGATGTTGGCACCAAACAACTCTTTGATTCCGTCGGCTCTGACACCGATCTGTAGCACGTGAACGACAACAGTGATTTGAAGATGAAATGTTGGTTCAAGTAAAGGGCAACTTGGTTTAGCAACACACTGTACTACAGTACTACACACTGTAGTACACACTGTAGTACACACTGTAGTACACACTGTACCTCCAAGAGCTGCAGAATTCTGCCGATGAAATTCATTTTCCACTTCATGATGATTTCACTTGGAACGACTCTTGTTGCTCCTTTTAGCATAAACGCCTCGGCCGCTGTTCCCATCAGGTACTCGTCTGTCAGGGTGAAACTCCACTGTTACAGTTTCTATTTATTGTAGTGAACCCTAAAGATTGTACTGTAGGTCCACATACCACTGAACCAGTCCAGTCTCAGGGCTTTGCTGTAGTGATAACTCAGACGGCCGTATTTAGGAGCCAGGATCTTCACAGCTACGTTACAGGCCGTGACTCTGTGTCAGGGATTCACAGAACGAGGGTTGGTTTTTCATGTAAAGTCAAAAGTTGAAAAAGAAAAACCCCTTGTTCTTACAGGGCATGGTTTTCTGGGGTACGTGATCGAGCCAGACTTTTCAGTAGGGAGAATGAGAAGCTGACGAGGTGGAGGTCGCTCTCCTGCTGTAGGTGGGTGGCTAAGGTGGAGACCAGAGACATGGACGGCTTGGCCTCAAACAGCATCATCAAGGCCAACATACGTATGTCGCTGGGAAGGTTCTTTTCCAGGAACAGAGTCAGGGCTACGTCTTGGACCTGAAAACAGAATCGATTTAAAGATCACTCTAAAAACATCAACTTCCTCTGTGGCTGAATAGAAGGAAAAGAACCTTTATTATCTCTGTGTGTGTGTGTGTGTGTGTGTGTGTGTTGCTCGTACACTGTGAGGATCTCTTGCAGCTATCAGTCTCATTGACTGCACAGCTGCACTCAGCACACGGGGCGGCAGGTCCACGGGTACGGCCGCCACTCCGGGCAGGAAGCGGATGATGGTTTTAATGCTTCCTGGATGACCTGCGTTGCCCAGAGCTTTGAGGACCAGCACCATGTCGGCCTCGTTCTTCGTCCTCAGAGCCTCCGTGGCCATGTCCAGCAGTGGCTGAAAAAACAGTCAAACCTGAAATGTATTGTGAAATAGCCTTTCTAAACTAAGACAACACAGTTACCACCTTCTTGGTTTTAAAAAGAAAGTTCATTTTTAGACCTTTTTGCATTTTATTGTTTTAAAATAGCTTTGCTAAACTAATTCAACGTTTTATTCCATCTCCCTGTTTGAAAACCAAATTCAAACCACATCGTTTGAATTGCAATGCTGCCACCTACTGGCTTTATTCCACCGGCAACTATTTTTCCCAGATCATTTTTAATGTGTTCAAACTCGGTGTTCATTGAAATTAATTTCTGAATGTTTCTGTTTTCTTCTTGTTCTTATCTGGTTGTTTTTACCTGAACAGCAGCCACGGGGCAGGGGGTGTAATAAGCACAGTGTTTGTAGACCAGAGAACCATAGGAAAGAACAACTCCATGCCACAGGTAGATGTTGGACTTAGTGAAGGGCATATTCAGGAACACCTGCAAAAACAAACAAAAACACACAGGAAGTCTTTGTGACATCATCTCTGAAAATGTCTTCACAGGAAGTCTTTGTGACATCATCTCTGATAATGTCTTCAAAATCAAAAAGGAGGTTTTTATTTTTTATTTTTTTTGGTTCAAGTAGAAAAATGTGTCCTTAAAAACACAGACTCACTTTGGCTAATTCAACCAACTCTGGCAGAGGTCGGAGATGGTTCATTGACAGCAACATGATTTGCATGGCGTGAAGCGGGGTCATGTCACCAGCCAGAAACCTCTTCTCCAGAAACTTCAACAGTCTGGCATCACCAACCTCAACAACCATGTCCAAGAGCCAACGTCTGTGAGAGGAAACAGAAGAGTGGTCCTTGAAGTCTAGACTTCAGCTCTGGTCTTACTGCTGTTCAGATGTGGACATTTACATGGTTTGGTTTCACACCGTAGGATCTAAGAAGTTCTACTTTGAAGGCACCACTTCATCTCTGACATCCATGGACATTTGACATTTGTTTTTGAACATTTAAAGAACATTTAAAACAAAACAAAAACACGTCCATGTCCTCTGTTGCCCAGACCAGCAGAAGACGACGCCTAAATGTGTCAGACTTACCGATATTCATCATTTGTAGACAGATTCTTCCACAGCTCCTCTAATCCTTCAAAAGGCATCGCTCTCAACAACTGATAGACTTTTATCGTGTCCTCAGTCGTTGAACTGTCGATCTGGTAAATGTTAGCATCGGCCAGACGCTTAATCAGCTCAACAGCCTGGAAGATAAATTAGCATGGAAGTGCGATGTCAGCAAAAAACTCTGCAGAAGATTATTGTTATTGTTGCTAATAATATTCTAGCCGTTTGTTGTTGTTGTTGTTGTTGAGGATCTTTGCCTTTGGCACCGGGTCCTTGAGGTTCTGCATCAATACTGGGATATTGACCGAGGCATCAACAAATTTAAAAACCATGTTCCCTCTGCTCTCCGCTGCCCTGAATATGACGGCCCTCTCTGCCCCGCGTACGTCCAGCAGTACCAGCTCCTTCCTGTAGGAGATGTGATCAGTAGAGGACATTTTGGACAGCGGGGCGTGAAGCTCACGTTTGTCTTTGGTCTCACGTCGCCTGCATCTTGAGCGTGCCACCCTTCACATTGAAGGGAGTGAAGAACTGCCTCTCCAGGGCCTGGGCCTTGGTGACCACCCCTCCCTCTGCTGTGGGTCGGACTGTGTGGATGTATCGCACTGTGGTGGCGATGGATTCACCTCTCTGGGTTGGACGGGACAGACGCAGGAACAAGCTCCACTTCAGCTGGGTTTACTGATAAATATGGAGACGTTTGTTTTTGCGAGGACTCACTGACCCGTCTGGCCGCCTCGTCCAGCACCGCAGTAGCCAGGCCGCTGTACACGGCTGCCTTCTCCCTGCAGTTGTCGACGTCCACCACCTTAGTGACGCTCATGTCCTTCGTTTCCTTGTTTTCTTCAATAGTGTAGTGGCTCTGGCACATCCCGTGGATGCCAACCTGAACAAATCCAACAGATGGGTTTGATCATTTCACTGTTTTTTTTTTGGGTAGATGGAGACTGAGCAGCGTGTTCTTACTTCCTCTAGTTCATAAACCCTCTGTGTTGTTTTGAGGGTGACTTGGAAGAAGCCCAGGATCCCCCTCACGATGTTGAGCACTGTGTCAGAAACGGCAGCAGAGGCGCGGATGTCCCCGATGTGTCCGCTGACGTACTCAAACATGATGGGATTGTTGAGCTGGGCGGAGATTCGCCCGGCGATCTTCGGTGAGGCACTGAAGCTGGTTTGACCAGGGACACCATTGAGCTTGTTAAAGACTAAGTCTGAAATCTTAGAGGGGGGAGAGAGAGAGGGAGAGAGAGGTTTGTCAACACTGAACAAACAGATCGTCACTTTGTCAGAATTTTCTTCTCAGATTTACCTTCAGAGCAAACGTCTGTGCAGACAGACCAGCAATGTTGACCTTACAGGTCAACCTCACACCAGACTCGGCCACATTTGGGATTCCAAGTCCAAATTTCACAACTCCCTCGTATCTGTACTCGTACGACATCTGTGGGTTGAGTTTCAGCTCTGAAATGTTCGACAAACGTTCAATGATATTTTATATGTTCTGTGTTGAGTGTAAAATGTTGATGTGATGTTGATAAAAATGTAAAGACTCACCGTAACTGAGGTTTTGGGTTGCTGAAAAGGTCAAAGGTCAAAGGTTTTGATGAAATAAATAAAATAAAATAAAAAACATAAAGAAAAGCCAGGGCATTAGGAATAAAACTGTTGTGATAATCTATCTAATAAAAATACTTTGGTTTAATTAACTAATTGATTAGAATTAAGTTAATTAAGAAAATTATTCTTATGAACTAATGATAAAATATGTTTGTGAATGAAACTACAGAAATATAAAAAATAGAAATAAAATATGTTTGTGAATGAAACTACAGACTTGGAAACATAAAATAGATTGATATGAATTATATTTTCTATTAGATTTGAATTCATACGTTCCTTTGTATTTACAAGATCTTGATGCACAGGCTGTCCATAATATCTAATCTAATCTAATCGAATCGAATCGAATCTAATCTAATCTAATCGAATCGAATCGAATCGAATCGAATCGAATCGAATCGAATCTAATCTAATCTGATCTGATCTAATCTAATCGGATCTAATCTAATCTAACATCTACACAGCAGTCATAGTTTCTGATCTTTCTCCATCATATCGTAAAGTTATCAAACGAAACTTACTGGCCAGGGCCACGCAGCAGCAGAGGAGGAGCAGACGGAGGCCCCTCATGGTGAGACTGAAGGAGTAGAAGCCAGAAGTTCACATCTGCTCTTTTATAGCAGGTTCCAGGTTGTGGTCCAGTGATTTTGTCGGCATGGACTGAATTCAAACGAAGTGAATGTTTGGTGGTTTCAGAGCCGCGTTGACCTGTGACATTGTCAGAGCGACATGAGCTTCACAGATAAGAGCTGTTTGGGTTTGAACCACAGACACACATGTGCCCGCTGTTTGGGTTTGAACCACAGACACACGTGTGTCCTACGTCTGTGACCATTTGAAGACCTAGGATCAGTGAACACACACACACACACACACACTGAGAATCAAACAACAGTCTGTGATGTGTTTCAGGACGAGACGTCCACAGATGAGGACGGGACCCACAGTCTGGTCAACAGTCCACCACTGGGCCACAAAGAAGGAGAACATTCTGGACAACCATGTGTCCAGGGTTTGGGTTTGAATCCAGCTGAACATCTTTACTCCTTGGGTCAGTGTTTATATAAAAGTGTGTCTGTGGTTGAGTCAGTGATTCTCCGTGGATCAGACTCTGCTGTACTGGAGGAGGATGTTTGCTCTTTCAATGTTTTACTTTTCCAATATTAGAGTAAAACCCCTGCTCTCTGATTTTATACCTTGTTCCCAGCATCACTAATTACCCCTCCTGGGTGCAACAAAGTCAAGCAGCATGAAGCATTACAGCTCTCCATGACGGTTTTAACAAAATGAGCCTCAGCCTAAAGGGCTCCGCAAACAACCCGGCTCATGTGTGCAGTCGGAGGGTGATGACATCAAGCAGCAATCAGCCGCCAGTCTGTTCACTCTGTCTTTTATTGTCATCAACATCACAGGAGTCCAGCCTCTAATCATACTCAAGTATTTCCTCAGCCATCAAAATCTCTTTCATCCTTCAGGCTTTCATTCACCTGACCATCTGCTTTTTACTGGATCTTCAATAGCACAAGTGGCCACAAGAGGGCACTGCCGTCACATACTGTTTTCTTCTTAACATGTAAAAACGTACATGTCAAAAACATGTAGTTAATCAATTCATGTTAAGTTCAGTTATCTTCATTTTTTGTCACTTTTCTTGTTGTTTTCTGCTGTAACTACGGTTACACGACGTCAACGGATGTAACTTTTATTTACAGGATTAATTACTATGATGTAAATAACAGCACAAATAAAACATTTAAAACCTTGTTTTGAGTCGTCTTTAAAAGAACTGAAACAGTAGAAGTAATTGTAGCAAAGTTTTAATATCAATTACATTTAGCTCGTCATATTTTTTCTTTTTTTTTATCAAGTATTCATTTTAATTTTTTTTTTTTTTTAGATTTAATAAAACAAATCGTTTGTTAAAGTAGATTATTTTCTGGAAATAAAAACATCAATAGAAAAAAACCCCGATTATAAAAAATAAAATCCAACCTTTGTATTTGCTAGATTACTCCAAATATTCCTAAAATGTGTGCCGAATTGTAAAGCCAAGCAAACAACGTAAAGGATCACAATGTGTCGAAAATACATTCTTACATTTGACTTTGTAAAGACTTGTACCCAGTCATGACCAATAGATGGCGGTGTAGGCCAACCTTCTAGGTCTGTGTCGTCGACGGTAAAAACACACCTGACAGCAATTGACGGCGAGTTTCCGGTTTCAACGGCTGCTCAGCTCAGGGTGAGACGCTGCTTCTTTTCCTTTTACTCTCACCGATAATTTAACAAGTAAAAAAGTCTTGTTTTTATTTTGTCACAGTTCATTTTTAATAATTTACAAATGAATTTTGAACACGAGAGAGAAACACATTAACAAGAGAGCATGCTATTTAAGTGTTAGACATTTACTTACCGCATTAAATTAAAGTGAAAATATACAATGAGATTTTGTGACAGTGTTACTTGGAAAAATAAGGTAAAATGGCGGATGTTTTGATTTCTTCTGTTTTTCTTTCGTTTTACAAAGATAGATAAGATTTAGAACATGGCCTAACATGGTGCTTAAAATAAATATATTTTTTAAGTACAGAAAAACAGTTCCATCGTTTCACGTCTGTACTGTATGTAATGGATTGGTTGGTGCATCTTCAGAAGATGAAGCAGGAGGAGCTTTGTTGTGGACTGTCATTGTTCAGGCTTTTTGGTTGGACTTCGTTGATCATCTCAGACATTCAAAACAACACGGCACGTTTTTAAAAAGCCTGTAATACTCGTCCTGAATCTGAAAGGAAGGTGTAAAAAATTCATGGTAAATTCTTGCATGGAGCCTAATATCACAAAACTGATAAAATAAATAAATTCAAATGTAGCTAAGGTTTTAATATAATATGACGTCTAAAAACTCTTTAATGTCACTCCAAAAATGACTTCTAAATATTCACAAAATAAAATAAAAAATTAGGTAAATATTTTGTGTCTTGCCTTTCTGGACAGAACGCAGAGGAAGATGAAGATGAACATGCCCTGGAAGGCGTTAGTGATGGTGAACAGATAGGCAGTCAGGGTGGTTTCATTAAGGATGTGCAGGACCCCGAAGGTCCACGTGGCCCCCAGCACAAACAGCAGGGCCATGGCCCCACGGGCGCACGACCTGAGGGAGGACACGCCCACGTGAAGCCACCGCGTGACAGGAAACAGGGTTTACAGCTCAGTGTAGTCAACGTACCTGATGTTTTCATAGTGGCTGATCTCAGGCTTCTTCACTGCAGTGTGTCGGTAGACTTTGTACATGATGACGACAAAAGCCAAGAGATTAACCTGTTCATTACAAACACCAGTTAGAGTAAACACTGTTAGTATCTTATTATTATTATTATTATTCATTTTCATTCAGGACTCTCACCAAAATGATCAAACAAGCCGGTCCAATGAAACTCCATATGAAATGGTTTTCTGTGCTCAGCCAACACCTAAAATACACAGAGATTTTTTTAAATTAATAATTTTTTTTTTCAGTCATGACAGTTTCCTGACTAGGCCCTCAAACGAACGACAGTTTCTAACAGTTTGATAAAAATCCCAGTGGCGGCCATCTTTATGTCCTGGTAAACCAAATCTGCTCAGCTGTTTCTGTGTCATATTCATAATTCATGTTATTTATCAGTCAGCTTCTTCACAGGCCTTTTTGTTCTCACTCATCAAACTATAGATATAAATACACACACACACACGGCCACATTTATTTTTTTTCCACTTACACTCTATCAGTGCCGTAATACTTGGAGCCTAACGTTGCAGAAATGGCCACCACCACTGCAGGGCTCCCATAACCAAAGACGTAAAAGTTACGGTGCAGGAAACCCTTGTTGTAGATGACACCGACCACGATCAGGTACAGATGGATGCCTTCGATGCACATCCAGGCGAAGGCCGCCAGAAAGAAGTAGTGCAGCAGCCCGGCAATAACTGAGCAGAAAACCTTCACAGGAACAAAAGAGAGAGAGAGAGAGAGAGAGAGAGAGAGAGAGGAAAATGGCTCGAGATGTTACCTTTGTCTCAGCTCAGGTGTGTTTTTGTTCAGTATTTAAAGGCAGAAAGATTTTTTAAAAAGTGTTTAGATGTTATTGTTTGAGATCCACTGGTATAAAAGGAGTCTGGAGGAACAGCGTGAAATCATCCCTATTTATGAGGTCTTTCAGAGCAGAACAATGAAAACATGGTTCTTTTTTGTGTGCATATAAACTCACCTTATGTGTGATCATATTGATCCCAACCAAGAAAATAAACTCTGCCATAAAGAGGCTGCAGCACAGGTTCTTGTGGATGGTGGTTCTGGTGCTCTGGATCTCACTGAAGAACCAGAAGGTGAAGATACACATGGACAGACAGATGAGGGAGATGATCATCCCCAGCTGGGTGATCCTGGTCAGGATGGTACGGTGGGCCTCCAGCTGAGAAGAGAATAGAAAGAGAGGTGTTTCATTCACAGAGTGGGACATGTCAGAGTTGTCACTGGTTTTGTTTTTCTGCCAGGCATCATCTGGGGCAGCGTGGATGAAGTCTGGTGGTTTATGATTCTACCTTCACATATCAGATTGTGTTCTGATGTATCGGTGTATTCTACAATAAATTCAAAATATAAATTATTTCATGAAGAAAAACCAATATGAAGGTAAGAACATAAAATAGATTTGACAGCAGCAGCTCCAGTAGAGAAGGGTATTCACAGCAGCAGACTTACGTTGGCTCGGCCCGACGACATCAGGACGGCGAAGTGTGTGAGGTGAGAACAGGAGCAGGTGGTGGTATTGCTGTTGACGTGGACAGTCCTGCAGCCGTGAGTGGCCCAGCGGCCCTTCAGGCCGTCCGCCTCGTACTCCCAGAAGGCACACTTGGTCACATCAGCTTTAGTGTCTGTGGGCTTCAGGGTATAAGAGCGCAGCAGAGGCACAGTTAACTGTGGACAGTGCTGTTTTTATTAGTTATTGCACCGTGAAACGGCATCGCCAGGGGGTTAAGAACAGCTTTTGCAGGCCTCATCAAAGTTGTAGTGAAAGTTAATTGGAGGCCGGACAAAGTTCTTTGAAAGTGCAGCGCCGACTGTGGCGTGCGGCTGCGGTCACGCATGTGTCCGTGCACGGCTGTTGTTTGACTTCTGTCCTACTGTTTTGCTGCAGAATCTTCTTCTCTATTGTAAAATACCAGTGAGTTCCTGTAGGTGTTGCTCTAACAGTCACTGGAGACCGTGCACTGACAGCAGGAAATGAGGCAGCAGCGTGCTGTGGTGTCAGACCGGGCTATTAACTCCTCTGACACAATGCTGAGGCTTAGCACATCCACCGTCCCACTAGTATACGGTGGTTTAATTAAAATAACACGTCAAACAACGCCTCCATTTTATAGGACATTCCTGTAAAATTACACAAATCACAGTTGAGAAAAATCATATGTTTTCATTTTTTTTTAAACAAGAAACTATTTTGTCCTTTGGACTCATGTAGCCCCGCCCACAAAAAATAAATAAAATTAACAACGTGCTGGTTAAAACCATGGGAAAACACAAACCCAAAATAAAGTCGACACCAAATTATTGATTGTTGCTCTTTAAAAGCCATTTACAGCAAGTGTTCACGGCTCGGCATAAATCAACGCAGCCTTTGTTTTTGCTGGGCCTCAGGAGTCCAACAAAAATAATGATTTCACTTTCCTCATAGATTTTCATTATCCACAAAGAAGTTTTCCCTCCATTAATCCTGATCCTCCGATCCCTCCATGTTTACTCTGCCGTTTTACCATTTTCTCTGAGAGATCGCTGCCGTAATGGACGACACTGAGATTCTGTTACACCTTTTCCTCTTTGTTTGGACCTGACCTAAAACTACAAATATAATTTGTTCTAATTATACTATAATGTACTGCATAATAATTGAATTGAATTGAATGATATCATTTCTAAAACAGTTTGGTCATTGACTCAGTGTAGTAGAAGAGAAATCTTCAGACCATTTCTAAAGATTTTTTTTCTCTGAGTGCAGTCTTTACCTCCTTGTGCCTCAGGGTAAAGGTCACGTGGTCAAGCTGGTACACGTCAGCAGGTTTGACGGCGGCTGCGATGACTCGGGAGTTGACAGTGATTTCCCCTGTTCCTCCGTACCAGGAGTAGTCGGCGACAGCGGGGTCGCTGCTGGGCTTCAGGATGTCACTGAGGCTGTGGTAGTGGACGAACACCACGGAGACGCTGCCTGTTGAACAGAGGTGAACAGAGACGGGGAGAGGGAACCACTTTCTTTCTAATCCACAGCTGTCGTGTCACTGATCAGATTAAAAATTCTAATCCTTCCAGAGGACTAACATAAGTGATGACTGTGACATAAATACAAAGACGTGGCAGACGGGCGGCGGTTTTTAACTTTGACAGCTAGAACAGACTTCTTCCATTTGTTTCTCTCTTCTAAAGCGGGTGATCGTACCAGTCCTCTCCTCCTCTGGGCTCAGTTTAGAAGTCAGATTTATGTGATCCGCTCCCATGGTGGCAAATAGGTTGGCTTTGTTGTGACGAGCATCAAAAGTGAAGACTTTCAGTTCTGCAAATATGGATGAAATAAATAACAAGTGAAAAAAACCCATCTGCTCTCCAATCAGATTCTCCAAAGGGTGTTAATAATGAACTCACCCATTTCAGAGGCTCTGATCTGGAGCTCCACTGGAGAGCTGCACTGCTGGGCCAGCGTCAGTGCACTCTCTTCTACAGTGTGTAGAAGTTTAGTGATGCTGCGATCTCTTTGTTCTTCTTCTATTCTGCTCCAGGCCAAGAGTTCGTCTCTCTCCACCAGGTTGTTGACGGCGTTCACTAATTCCTGTTGAAAAAGAGTTTTTTTTTTTTTAATGATGATCCATGTCAAAGGGTTTCTGCTCTGAGTTTTTAACCCTGTGTTTGAACAAGGCTGATGTTTTTATTTATTACAGGGCTGAGGTTTTTATCTCCACACCCTGAGATAAGATGTGTTTTCACTGCCAACTTCAATCATTTTTAAAGTGTCAGAAGTGTTTGTTTTGGTGCACATGGAAACCCCACTGTTAACTGGAATATTAGTCATCTGACTTTAAAACACACACACACACACACACACACACACACACACCGACTACATTTTCTGTTTGAATTTCAGTTCATCCCCTGGTTTGAATTTTCACTGCTCTGATCATTCAAATCTGCTCTGAATGTGATGAGAAGACAATGAACTGTGAACTCCAAACTCCAACCTGTGTTTAAGGCACAGCTCCAAACACTGAAGGAAGAAAAAATAAAATAAAATAAAAAAACTGCAGTAAACAAGAATTACTGAGAGGGTTGAGTTGACGGCTGCTGGTTTGACATTGTTTTTCTTTTCTCCTGCAGCCAGCGCTGACGTGGACCGACTCAGGGCCTCAACATAAGCAATCACTGCCACGGAGGTGAGTTCACCGGACGTCTGTTTGGCGATTTCCTTCAGCAGACTCTCAGGCTCCGTTAGGTTCCTCATCTAGGTCAGAAAAAGAGATTTGTTTGTTTTAAAGTATGAATGTGTTTGACTGCGTGGTGAGTTTAATTTCTCTGTCACTGAAACTACTTCAGAATATCACAGCATGTATGCAGTGGTTCTCAAATTAGGGCCTGGCCCCCCGTAGTTGGACACAGCGATGTCACAGAGGGTCAGAGATACTGACGTCTGGTGCAGGAAGGCAGATGCATTTCATTTTCAAATTGTTTCTCGTCTCCCACTTTGGGGAAATATCTCTGGTTTGTGATTGTATTTCCTTCGTCAGTGAGAGGAGTTTTTAAATGAATTACAGTGTTTAAAGTTCAAAGAGTTTGGAAATAACAGCTGTGAAAGTGTTGATTGGATTAGACTGAACTTTATTGATCCCACACTGGAGAAATGGTTGATGGGGGATCGACAATCGACGGCAGCGCTGATCTAATAAATGATGTCACCGTTTCTGAATTATTTAGATTTAGAGAAAAAAAAATACAAAACTTGAAACTTTATTTGGGATTTTTTTTTTTACATTATGCAATTTCGAAGCTGAAACCTGCAACTCACTCCAAAAAGTTGGAATAGAAGCAAGGTTAGCTCCAGGTCACATGGTGTTAGTTTGGTACTGAGGTGTTGTTTTAGACTCAGGGGAGAGAAATGTGAGCTGATCAATGTGAGCCAATCAGCTGAAGATGGGTCTGAAACCCAGACCCTCTGACCAAACACAGCTTTTTATAGTTTAATGTCAGAGGAACGAAGACCAAAGGAGTGTTTTTATATCTGTGTCACAGTCTGACGGTGGATTATGAAGATGTGGTGTGGACCTGAAGTAGTCCTGGGCCTGAGTGGTTCTGTCCATTGTTGTAGCCTGACATTCTCTAATGTGATATAGTCTGAAGGTCTGAAGGTTTATTTCATTGGACTGTTGACATTTACACAGACTGTTCTTCTTCAGTGCTTGGTCTCAGCTCTCACAGATTCTCGACTATCGTGCACCGACTAACATTTGTTCCACTTGCAGAGTTTGTGTTTTCACTAAAAAGTATTGAGCCAAGACAAATCCTTCAATCCTGATACACAAACATCTCCCAAACTGTATCTCTTGTCAACTTCAACTTTTTCTTTGCCTCTTTTTTTAACTTTTATAACATTATGTCAAAGTTGTCAAAACATACATTTGGATACAGTATGTGAACTCAACATTCAGTGGAAAAGACAGTGAGCACAGATTCATAGTATAAGTTTGGCTGCAACACATCCATATGACAGATGTTTCCCCCAGGGGGCACTGTTCTCCAGAACTAATGAACCAGTACAGTTTTACAAAGGCCTTTGGGAAACCTGAGAACTTTCTTAGAAACAACCAGTAGTAAATTTAATTAATGTCTTTGATAAAAGTACATGTTGATTTTGTAGGTTTCATCAAATATAAAATTCACTTCAATAATCTTTCATTCCTTTTGACCCAAACTGACAGTCAGTCTTAGTCTAAGTCATAGAGGCCAAAGTAACAACCTTCAACTTTTCCAACTGTTATTAGTGTTAGGTGAGAATATCTTTAAACATTTATCATCAAATGCTGGATTGCGTGAGTGGAAGAAAAGGTACTTACGGATTCTAGTGTTTTGTTAACCGTCTCTTTGATACAGCTCATGTTGTCATGGCAGAATTTCTGGGGATGTTCTGAAAAATACCAACAGACAAAAGCATCGTCTTGGTCCCAGTTTGTCTCTGTATGAAGGAACCAATACATGAAATGTCAAAGCTAAGTCCTAGCTCCTCCACACAGGCAGCTGAGCCGAGCACTGTTATGAGCAGTTGAACATATCAGAAAATGTTGCCTGACTCTGTTGTCTGTTGACTTGATATGTTGCATAACAGACTCAGGAAAAAAAAAAGAAAAGTTTCATCTTGTGCCTCTAGTCAAGAGTGGGCGTGAAAAAAAAAAAACAAACCAACCAAACATGTCTGTTGCTGCAGGTGTGCTTTTTCTACATATGTCCTCTCACCAACCTTTACATCTTACACCAGTCTCTGGATGAAAGTGTTTGGTGCCGACGCTTGGTACAAAATCCCGCTGACAGGAACAATAGAAGGATCCGTTGGTGTTATGGCAGCGAGCGTCGGGTCCACACACTGGTCCTGACAAACATTCATCAACATCTGAAAAAAAAACAAAAAAAAACAAACAATCATGTTCTGCAGTTAAACAAAAAAACAATGTTGTTCTGAAATAACATGTTGCAGTTGAAGTTTCCACCAAAGTTTCCTCAGTGTGTGTCAGAGTCTCCACCTGGTGAACCTGTTACATAGATCCAGGTGTGATAGATTCTACACACTAAAGTTTCAGCTAATGTTAAAAACAGGCAATGTGTTAAAATCACTACTGTTGGTGTAAACAAAAGTGGGTTCAACCTGGGGTAAAGAAGACAGTAGTTTGAAGTTGCATCACTGTGTAACGTTCTCAAAGGAACAGTGTTTTATATCCCATAATAATCAGCCGCAACCCATAGTTTTTCCAAAATACAGCAAAAGAAATTTGTAAAAAA